TTGACTCACTGCAACCTCTGCCTCCCGGGTTCAAGTGATTCTCCTGCCTCAGCTTCCCAAGTAGTTGGGATTACAGGCGCACACTACCACACCCAGCTGATTTTTTGTATTTTTAGTAGAGACAAGGTCACCATGTTGGCCAACCTGGTCTCAAATTCCTGACCTCAAGTGATCCACCCACCTCAGATTACAGGTGTGACCCACTATGTCCAGTCTTGTGGGCTTTTTGACATCCTTTTATTTTTTTCTTTGCTAAAGTGTATATTCAAATCATTTGCCATTTTTTTGTTGTTGGGCTGTTTATCTTATTATTGAATTGTGAGGGTTTATTCTATACTCTGAATGCAAGTTCTTTGTCAGATATGTGTGTTGCTAATATTCTCTACCGGTCTGTGGCTTATCTTTGCATTCTCCTAAATTTCTTTCAAAGAGTGTACATTCTGACATAGAGTACTTAGTCCTGCGCCTGGCAGATTTATTTCTTTCAGGACCAGAGGCCTCTGCTGCAAACATTTTCCACCAGATCCTTGGTCAGAATAAGCAGCATATGAGCTTCATAACTGTTATGGTCATAATGTTTGTATCCCATCAAAATTCGTATGTTGAAACCTAATCTCCAATGTGATAGTATTAAGATCGGGGCCAGGCCGGGCTGGGCGCGGTGGCTCACACCTGTAATCCAAGCACTTTGGAGGCCAAGGCAGGTGGATCACCTGAGGTCGGGAGCTCATGACCAGTCTGACCAACATGGTGAAACACCGTCTTTAAAAAAAAAAGATAGGGGCCATTTGGGAGGTGACGGATCGGCTTAGTGCCCTTATAAAAGACGGCCAAAGGAGCTTTACCCCTTTCACCATGTGGGTGCACAGAGGAAGGCACCATCTGTGAGGAATAGGCACTCAGCAGATATTAGCACCTTGTTCTTGGACTTCCCAGCCACCACAATTATGAGACATAAATGCTGTTTATTGTTTATAAGTCACCCCCCCAGCATATGGTATTTTTTTTGAATATAGGGTCTTGCTCTATCACCCAGGCTGGAGTGCAGTGGCATGATCATGGCTCACTGCAGCTTCAACCTCCTGAGCTCAAACAATGCTCCCACCTCAGCCTCCCAAGTATCTGGGGCAACAGGTGTGAGCCACCATGCCTGGCTAATTTTTTGGCTATTTGCAGAAAAGTGGTCTCCCTATGTTTTCCAGGCTAGTATTTTCTTATCAAAGCCTGAAAGGACAAAGACACTGTCCTTTTTTTTTTTTTTTGCTGTCTCCAGGCTGCGGTGCAGTGGCATGGTTCAAGTGCCTCCCGGTTCAAGTGCCTCCCAGGTTCAAGTGATTCTCCTGCCTCAGCCTCCTGAGTAGCTGGGATTACAGGCATGTGCCACTACACTCGGCTATTTTTTGTATTTTTAGTAGAGACAGGGTTTCACCATGTTGGCCAGGCTGGTCTCAAACTCCTGACCTCAGATGGTCTACCCGCCTTGGCCTCTCAAAGTGTTGGGATTACAGGCGTGAGCCACCATGTCCAGCTTCTATTATTATTTATTATCTAACTACTATATGTGTTACTTATGTTTATTATGTAACTCCTCCACTGGAATATAAACTCCATGAGAGCAGGAGCAGGAATTTAATGTGTATTTTTAAAATGCTGTATGCTCAAAACCTAAAGTAATGTTTAACATATAGTAGGGTTCGTATGCAAGTCACGGCAACAAAAAAACAAACAAAACAAAAACATCATGTAGTAGGAAACCAATCCATGTTCACTGTGGAATCAATCAATGTTTGCCTTCTATGTTTACTATGGACCAAAATGCTAATTATTTTCAGATTATGTACGATTATGAATTGAAAATATATTTGCCTAGTCTGTAGCTTGTGGCCTTCTCCTTTTTAATGATATATTTTGATGACCAGAAATTCTTATTTTTTATATAGTCAATTTTTTTCTACAGCAAAGCACCTGTGAACATAGTCAAATTTATCACACTTATCCTTCATAATTTAAATGTCTTGGTTAAGAAAACTTTCCTTTCCCAAGTTAGTTCAGTATATTTCATATTTTCTACTAAAAATTATCTTTTACCTTTCATATTTAGGTTGTTAAGACACTAAGAACTGATTTTTTTTGTATGGTGTGAGGTAGGGTTCAAATTTTCACCCCTTACCAAGGAGGCTCTATTTTTCTACATAATGGTTTTGGTTTGATCTCTCTGCTTTCTTAAGTCTCTTATCCTATGAAACACCATCAAGATTCTACAACAATGAAGCAAAACAAAGTATCAATCCCACAGTTTTATTTGTAAAGAACAAAGCATGAAAAGTCATATTTAAATGTACTCCCAAACCTGAAAAACCCACGTCAGTTTGTCTGATATGTATGTTAAAGTGCTTAATATCACAATGCTCTTTTAAATTTTATATTATGTTCAGATGAGAAAAAAATCCAGTTCTGATGCATTTTGTTAACAATACAGAGAAAACCAATATAATTTAAATGCATAAATGCTAATTTAAAAAAAAGATACACAGGGTACATTTATACATGGTTCAGGTGTAACACAGAGCATTCTTTCTATATGTTTCACACCCTCATTTGATTGACAAACAGGAACTCCTTACTATACCTCTCTACTGTTGACAAGATTTGGTGTTTAGAATCAAGACTGGATTCACACACAAGTACATTTAGGTAATTGGAACAAGCATGATTCCCTCCTACATAACCCAAGGATATCCTGGATCCCTTCGAATGAGGAAAAATTTTATTTTAGTTTTTTTTTTCCCCCTCTAGCTTGATGTGATATATCTCTGAAGCCAATCTTTATCTTGTCCTTGAGAGGGCAAATAGCTCTAATCAGATTTTGGAGATGAAGTTCTCCTCAGATTCTTTTGATGACACTACATCAGCAACCTCTTCAAAATGCTTAGAATTCAGTTGATTCAAGGGATTTATAAGTGTATTTTAATAGGAATAAAGGACTTAGTAGTTTATTATCTTTTTCTGTCTCCTATTTATGCTAAACAGTAATGTAATAAATACTATTTAAGAAACAGAGACTTCAAAAGACATGGATGACTTGGAAATAGGATTCACTTTATAAAAGTAGAGAAGTGCTCAAGACTCTCAATCAGTGAAGGTGTGTTAATACTGAAATATAAATAAAGTTCAGATTGTCTTTTCAACATAGTGAAAAGGATAGACTAGTTTCTGTAAACCTCACAGAAAATATTCACAGTTCACTAAATGAAAAATCTACTGAAAAATCATAATTTTTAGCAGAAAGAAGATATTCCATTATGAAGAGCTATACTCCTAATGTTGCGAAGTAAGTATTTCCCTGGAAATTTGAGGTCCTTGTCTGTCACCTGTTTCAAAATACCTTAGGGATGTCAACATATACTATACATAAGCTGTTGTATAGTCTTGAACCTCTCTTTTTTACTTACATTTTCATATAACAGCGTTTTATTGCCAAAAAGGGAAATATGAGCAATTCCGTATTCCCCATATCATTCATATAGTGTGATAGAAATTCATTAAAATAATTTTTAAAAATGCCATGTGAAGGTAAATACCACAGGATTACAAAAGGTACAAGAATGTGTGAAACACTTAAATTTTAGAGGAAAATCCACACTTCTGCAAGGTTTAAGTTTCTCATATCAAATTCTTATTCCTAGTGGAAAACAGGGTGGGGAGGGTTGGGAGGCTTTTGTAGCTGGTAGCCTGCTTTTTTCCCACATAGGACTCCACTTTATACTACTTCACACTGACTCGCAGTCATTTTTAAGGCATATGACTCCCGACCAGGGCACAGATCTCACACATACTTCCAACATCAGTGTAATGCCACTGTGTCATAAAGGTCGAGATTAGGGGTTTCAGGACATATGAAAAACACCAGGAAAATAAATTTTTCAAGAGGTAATATTTTTGGCAATTTAATTTTAAAACAACTTCTTCACCAGCTATTACTATGCAAAAAATACTCATTATGGTCCCAGGCATTTAATTTATTTGGAGGAAAACAAATTAAATATTGATTTTTTTATTTAAACTTTGAGATGTGATCCTAAAACAATATATTAATTTTTAAAAATTACTACAGCAGAAAAGATGCCTCTATGTGGGTATGGTCCTTCCAAAAGTCAGCTTAAAAGTCTAAGCATTTATTCTAAGCATTCTGATACTACTGTTGTGCTCAAAATTTTGGTATGCCTTAGAGACAGTTAAAAGACACATAAAAACTAAGTCCTGCTGGGCGCAGTGGCTCACACCTGTAATCCTAGCATTTTGGGAGGCAGAGGTGGGTGGATCACCTGAGGTCAGGAGTTCAAGACCAGCCGGGCCATCATGGTGAAACCCCATCTTTAAGAAAAACAAAAACAAAAAAACTAAGTCCTTTGTTTTGCTTTGTTTTTTTGAGATGGGGTTTCCCTATGTTACCCAGGTTGGACCCAAACTCCTGGGTTTACGCAATCCTCCTGCCTTGGCCTCCCAAGCAGCTGGGACTACAGGTATATACTGCCATGCCCAACATGTCTTATTTCTTTATAACTGCATTTCTTATGTAACCCCAATCTCAGCTTAAGCATCCTTTTTATTGATCAAACTTTGATCCAAAGAACTATTTCCAAGTTAAATTTATTGTTAAAGGCCAAGAGTGACCACCATCGGGAATATTAAAAAGAATGGGGGTACTGGCCATTCAAGCAGCTCACAAGAGGGCCCCACATGTTTGCAGCACGGGCTGTATCAACAGAATATGTACATGGGCTCACAATGTGACTAAGGGGCCCATCATCCAAGAGGATGCGTCAGTTCTGATTTTTTTTTAATCAGTCATTTCACTATCATAGTAATATTACATAAAGCATGAAGATGAAACTTTAAGTCTAACTTTTTTGGGGGCATTACTTTTTAAAGTAATGGTTTTATTCATAGGCCCCCAATCCAACTTTGCTCCCAGTTTTTTGGGGTTTTTTTTGAGACAGAGTCTTGCCCTTGTTGCCCAGGCTGGAGTGTAGTGGCACAATCTTGGCTCACTGCAACCTCCACCTCCTGTGTTAAACGATTCTCCTGCCTCAGCCTCCCAAGTAGCTGGAACTACAGGTACCTGCACTATACTCAGCTAATTTTTTTTTTGTTTGTTTGTTTGTTTGTTTTTTAGTAGAGACGGGGTTTCACCATGTTAGCCAACCTGGTCTCAAACTCCTGACCTCAGATGATCCACCCACCTCAGCCTCCCAAAATGCTGGGATTACGAGCATGAGCCACCGTGCCTGGCTTGCTCCCAGTTTTTACAAGATGTTAATTCCCAATAATTTGAGAGCAATGTGTTAATATGAATTTTAATTATTCTAAATAAATATTCTTCCTTATTTCTTACTTGTATAGGTGGATGAATAAAGATCCAATAGTATAATAGAAAGACTATTAGTAAGAATGCCTGGAAGGTCAGTCTCATGCAGCCTGGTGAAACAAACAAACATGAATTCTAGAGCCTGTGTTGTCAGAGACCAGCTGTGGGGTGAGGATAAGATTTAATCTCTCTAATCCTTAAGTGTTCCCATCTACAAAGTGAGAAGGCTGGATGAGGTGTGTCAATACTAGCACACTAACCTAAGTTGTCCCCCTGGTTGCCTAGACCTGTCAGAAGCATGGCCTTACGAAGATACAAGCATGAAATCCTGGGTTAGACCCTGCTATCGCCTCTGATGACTAAACTCAGTAGGAGCCCAGTGTAAAACAGGTTTTGGGTATCTCCCATGATAGACTTCCCATGTCCCTGGAAGAGCTGTACCATTACAGATACACTTTAGCTTCAGGCAAACAAATTTCTAGTCTACTCAGAACCATCTTCTTAAACTATTTCTATGGGTTTTTAAATACAGCTGTCAACTCTCCTCTTCCTCAAGTATGAAGTCATATGTTAAAAGGGGCTTCCCTGGCTGAATACAGTGTTTGATAAAGGGAGTGAGGCACTTGTTTCATTAGTTTCTTCCTCCAGGAAATAAGGTTAACAACACAGCTGGTGAAAGCACAGCACCCTCAGATTGCACAGGATACTGACACCATGGCTTTGCTTTTCAGCCACATCTGGGAATAAAACTCAGGGCTTTGCTGAGGCAATTTTGCTGCTAAAAATGTACAAATGCCTAATTAGAGTTACAGGACCTACTGGAAGGTGAGGACTTAAAGTAACTAGCTAATACAACATTTACTTAAGTTTTTTATAAACTATCAAACTGGAAAGTTACTCACAACTTTTGGTCTTTCAAAATTGTTGCCACCTCTTGTTTTGCTTCAATTTTGTCAGCGTGTGCCACCAGTGGCTTTTAGCTTCTCTGGGCCGGTTGTTTTACATTATTACTCCCCTTCCTACAAAGGAACGTAAAGCTTGCCCTTAAACACCCAGAAAGAGTTCATTCTCTCTCTCCTTCTGTTATTTGCATTATCATGGTCAACAAATGCTTTCACAAAAACATTCCAAGCCACACAGAGCCCTCCTCCTCCTTAGTCATTCCTTCCATTACCCGAGGGAGGATGGGCCCTGGAGAGGTGGATGATTAGACCCTAACAAAGACAAGACTCGAGGTTATCCTTAAGAGATAGACCACTGCAGAGTTTAGATGGCCAAATTAAAAGTACAGAATCAAATTGCTGTTGGCAGTTCTTATGACTCTGAGTCTGCTAACACTGAAATTCACATCTCCCCAAAGTACCTCAAATAACAAGAATAAAAATGCCAAGAATGAAGTTAGGCTAATCTTTCCAAAGTGTAAAGAAGTTATAATGCCACAATTGAACACACTTCTCAGGGCTTTGTATGTTCTCTTTCCAGTTCAGCCAAGCTCCTGGGGTCTAGTGTTTAAAATACTTTAATTATATCATCTTGTGCGGACTGAAAGATTTTTCCAAAAGACTGGAAAAGTGACTAATGATTCAAATGCATACAACAGTTTGTAACTTAAAAGATATAAGTGAAGACTACTGGTACAGTAGGTAAAGCTGTGTGCATTCACAATACAAATGATCGGACTCCAAGATGGATGGCTACTACATAACAATGCATTCTGGGTTTCCTTGTGATATCTGGAGAAAAAAAAAGCCCGACTGGGTTGCACTATATTTACATGTTTACTGGCTTCTTCCTGGCTAGCACCACTCTTCCCCCCAACCCCAACATTTTTAAGCTACTTATTTTAAGTCACAGGAATATTCAGTCTAAGAAAAGCATCTTATTAGAGTAATATAATTTCTTAAAGAAGATAGCATATTTACACACATCTAACACATGAAAATACTCTATTTTATACTAAATTCCAGGTTCGAATGAACTACAATACAACATTTTGCCTTGTCTGTAGAGTGAGGATAGTTCCAAATGGGGCATAAGTTGGGCTGTCCCCTGCAGTAATTCACTACTGTCAGACAAGTCCAAATCAGTCCCCTAGTTGGGGACGGAGCAAGGTTTGGACTGAAAGTTTCTAGCCAGTTTGGTTACACATCCACACCTTTGATGAGTGATCCTTCTAGGACTATGGTGAAGTCCTGAATGGTCTGCAGAATTCGGATAAGGGAGTTGACAGTCATGCGGTCTCGCAGGAGAGCGCTCTCTTCATACATTCGAGTGATGGCAGGACACTCGGCTAACAATGGAATCCACTGTGGGAGCAGGCGATCCCTACAGACCCAAACAGAAACAATTCCTGAGCACTGCTGGCCTCGCTGCAGAACAAGGAACAGAGTGGAGCTTTCAAATGGGAAGGTGTGGGGCCGGATGGTACAAAATCTAGCCAAGTAAAGAAGTCAGGAGAGAGGAAATCAAAGCCAAGAAGTTAAATATTTACTGGCAAAAAGACAGTGATGAGACAGTATAAAGCTAAAGGGAAAACCCATGAAGTTCTTAAAGTACATTAGAAAGTCTATGCACATTAAAGACATTCTCTATTCTGATTCTACCACCTTTAGAAAGAGGCAGAATGTCATTTTCTATGTCTTTTTTTTTTTTTTTAATAGGAGTGTTACTCTGTGGCAAGGCATGCCACAGCATACTGACCTTTTGGAAGAAAGACTACACTAAGCTGCAGGGATTTGCTTTTTTTTTTTTTTAATTATTAACTTATACAACATAACAGGGTGAGGAACAAAATCAAAGCAGAAAAACATTAAGTAGATTTTATAAACCAGAATAGAGTTTGCATTGGTCTAATAAATCAGAAGAGTATAGAGATAAAAGGAGATAAAGATCATGCTCAAAAGAAACTTTAAAAGCACAACTAAAATTGGGCTCCTTTTATGAAGAAGAAATACAGAACTTAGTTGTGTAAACCAGCTGTTTCAGGAGGATAAAACCTCACATCTTCAATGTTTCCTGATCAAACCTGACATTAGTAACCCAATGCTAAGTTCCGAAGATCCTTATTGAGCATACCCAACTAGGCCATCTTCAGACTCAAGTTGGGGCCCTTAAGGTTTAAGAAAAAACAAATAATACATGGATAACTTAAAAAAAGAAATCTAAAGGTCTGTGTGTTTCAATTCCTGCAATTCTGAGAGCCGTTTTAAAAATTACAGATTGTATTGCTCCTGTGTGTCACTTTCAAAAAATAAAGGAGTAGGAAATAGTCTTAAAAAGAAAACTACATTTATATAGAACGAATCCCAAAATGTTCTTGAATGTAAATATAGTGGTATACATACACTATATAAGGTCTACATAGTAAATATGCACGGTGTATGTGTCTAATTATCTAGTAACCTCCCTATTACCTACCTATCTTTGGAGCCAGTTATAGAGTCACGGTGGAGAGCTTGGGCTCTGAAGTGGGACTGGGTGTGAACTGGCTCTGTCTCATTTTTGCTGTGTGACATTGGGAAAGTCTGCTAACTTATGTGTGCCTCACCTATTTTCTATTTTCTCATCTTGAAAATGAGAAAATCTCCTGTCTGGGCCCCTATTAGGAGGTATCCCCCAGTCAGGATACAAAAAAAAAAAAAGAAAATGAGAAAATGGGTTGCTAACTCATGTAGTGGTTGTGGTGAATTAACCTGAGGAGAGAAGGCAGAGGTTGCAGTGAGCTGAGACCACACCACTATACTCCAGCCTGTTCGACAGAGTGAGACCCTGTCTCAAAATAAAAAGTAAAAAGAAAGAAACCCAAAGGAGAGCTTTGGAAGAGGCATGAACTGGTATAACTCTTTCTGGATTCTGGTTCAACATGTAGCAAAAATAGGGAAAATAAAAAACTGGTTTTGTACCTTGTTCCAAGGCAAACTAAAATCTGGAATTTGCCATCCTTCCCAATGTTCCTGGGTGCAGTATTAATAGCATTTACATAGTGGCAGAAGGTTTTGCAGGATGATTTCTGAATAAGGACATCATCTTCATTATCTAGAATCTGGTCAGTTGTTTCAAAATAAGCAACCACTTTCTCTGAGGAAAAAAGTCAGAATAATATCACAATGTATGTCAACACTTCATATACAGAAAGATTCATCACTTAATTTATTACGGAAACACTAATGATGCTTTGCATACAGCCAGTCCTGAAGCCTGTAACACTACTTTGTCATTGATTTCAGAGGTCCATGTTTCATAGTAGAACAATAAATACGCTCCCAGGAATTTATTTTCTAATCTAGACTGCATTCCAGAAGAGTGGAACATTTACTCCCTTTAAAGTACCTTCACAAAACAGAAACTGGCAAAAAAGAAAAATAACATCTTCTGTTAAGACTGGAACCTTCTAGGAGTAACCAGCAATGACATGGTAGCCATTGAGATAATACCCCCTGTGTTCTAGTTACAGAATGACTGGCTAACACTTTGCAACAAGATCCTTGAAATGTACCTGAATAAATTTCTGATGAAGAGAGATATATGTATATACACATGAGAAGCAGAAGCAATGATTCTAGGCATTCCAGAAGAAAAAAAAAATCACTCCTGTGGGTCTAGCTCTGTCAACTTTCCTTTTTTTGTCTATTCTAAGTTAGAAGAAATGAACTACTTCATCTAGGCCTTATTTAGAAAACACAAAATGATTAACTGCCCTTTTAAAGAAATTAGAATTCTAGAAGAGTTAAAGAAATCAGGAATTCTAAAAGAAAGATTACAAAACTTAGCAAGCTAGAGCAGACATACCCCAAAAGAGCTTTCTGTGATGATGAAAATGTTCTCTATCTACAAAGTCCAATTTGGTAGCTACATATGGCTACTGAGCACTTGAAATGTGGTCAGTGTTATTAAGAAATGTAATTTACATTTGATTTAAATTAAATACATTTAAATTTAAATAGCGACATGTGGCTAATGGTTACTGTACTGTTCAACACAGAGCTAGAGGAATCCTTTTATAAACATTGGCCAGGCACAGTGGCTCACACCTGTAATCCCAGCACCTTGGGAGGCCAAGGCAGATGGGATCACTTGAGGACAGAGTTCGGGGCCAGCGGGGCCAACATGGTGAAACTCTGTCTCTACTAAAAATACAAAAATTAGCCAGGTGTGGTGGCAGGCACCTGTAATCCCAGTTCCTCAGTGGCTAAGGCAGGAGAATCACTTGAACCCAGGAGGCAGAGGTTGCAGTGAACTGAGATGGGGCCACTGCACTCCAGCCTGGTTGTCAGAGTGAGACTCCATCTCAAACAAACAAACAAAAAAGTTCTATCATGTCACTCCTTAGCTCAAAGCCGTCCAACAGCTTCCACCTTCATTCAGGATAAAGGCCCTGGATAAAGGCCCTACACAACCTGGCACTGGCACTAAACACTCCCTCCCCCAATCTCATACTTAACTCACTCACTCTGTGTGTGTGTGTGTGTGTGTGTGTGTGTGTGTGTGTGTGTGTCTCTCTCTCTCTCTCTCTCTCTCTCTCTCTCTCTCTCTCTCTCTCTTGCTGTGTTCCAGTCACACTGGTCTTGGGGTTCCATGGAAACACTTCCGCCTTGGGGCTTAGCACTGGCAGTGCTGTCAATACGGAGTCCCTCCTCCCAGATATCTACATGGCTCACTTCCTCACCTACTTGAAGTCTGTGCTCCAGTGTACCTTGACATTCAGTAAAGTCTAAAACCACCCCATTTAAAAGACCACTCCCCACTTTATTTCCTCTTATGCTGCTCTATTTCTTTCCAGATCTTCAGACCTGCCATATGAATTACATATTTGTTATATTTTTGTTCATTGTTTCCCACACTGACCTGAGTATAAGTTTGCCAACCACAGGGATTTCTGTTTTGTTTACTAATGTATATCTTGAGTGACCCAAATAATGTTTGGAATATTGTGCATATTACAATTTGTTGAGTGAATGAAAAACAAAGATAGTACTTATTTGATATTTATTTTTTATTATCATATATACTTTTTGAGACAGGGTCTTACTCTGTTGCTCAGGTTGGAGTACAGTGGCTTGATCATGGCTGACTGCAGCCTTCACCTCTTGAGCTCCTGGGCTCAAGCAATGCTCCTGTCTCAGCCTCCCAGGTAGCTGGGACCACAGGTGTGTGCTCCCACACCCAGCTAATTTAATATTTATTTAAAAAATATATACCCTTAATTCATTCAGATTCCTGGGTCTTTGAGTTTCCTAAGAAAGGCTTCAGTGACCTTAAAGTAACATACATCTGCTTTATTTACCTATGAAGTCCCAGATGAAGACATTCTTGTGAAAGATGCGGGCAGATTTGAACCCATGGTGAAAAACTTGTTCAAGGGCTGCAACCAGGCCATTTTCTCCACACAGCAATACGGTGAGGCTTCCTCTCTGTGGGGTATAACACACAGTGCCAAAGAAAAATCTCCTGCATCTATGTCTAAGAAAAACACTAGAGAAGCAAGTGCTGAAGGTAGCTATATGAAGCATGAAGCATGTTTTTACAGCTACCAGAAAACTTACAAATGAAAATTCAAGCACCCCACATTGCCTCATGTATCACATACAAAAGCATCTTTAAAAGTCCCACTATACTAAGTTTTATAGCCCATAAATACCTCTTTTTCAGGTTTGTGAAAATGTTTCACAATATTGTTCACAGCTTCTCCAATTCCTTCTTGGATCTGCCCAGCATTGGGTTCTGTAAAATAACAAACAGTGGCTGCAGTCTCATGGGAGAGAAATAAACCAAAGTGCTGTGGGACATCAACTGTGTCTACCTTGGCAGGAAATACGTCACCAAAGCAGGCTGGCTTTGCCAGGGGCTCCACAGAACTTGCCTCTGGCCAGTTTGGCCAAGTTGGAAGCATCCTGGCATAATGGAATATAATGCAAGAGATCCCTAGATTCAAACTCCAGCATTACCATCTGCAATCTATAACCCGAGCCTAGTGTCTAACTTCCTCTGAGTTTGAGTTTCCTCAACTGAAAATAGGGAAAATACATGCCTCACTGGGAAAACTGATAAGTTATAGGGGTAAATAACCTAGCATAGTACTTGTCACAAAATGGAAGCAAGCACCTAAGTATAAGAAGCAAGACTGGGAAGTCCCAACATCACTCCTCAAATGTTCCCTTATGCTACCTACCTCCGAGCCCATTAGTGGGCATAGACTAAGGCTTAAGGAGCTCTGGATAGCTAACCCGGAGTTTGAAGATTTGCTGTTGTGTTGCGGGAAGATGCCAGGTACCCTGTGGCATCTGGGCCTGAAGCCCAGAACTCCCTCCCTCCCTGGCTAGTCAATCTGTTTCAGCACTGCTTCCTTCTGCCAGCCAGTACTTGCTCTTCTAGGCCACTTTCCTGAGGGATAGGTTGGTGGGCTGCTTGAATGGGACCTAAATCACTTTTGTCCACCACATCCAAAGATTTTAAAAAAGGGTGGTAAACATTTCAGAAGTAGGTAACAAGAGAAAAGGCATATAGTTCGGATTTTCTTGTAGTTCTAATTTACTTATCACAATGTAAAAGAAAAACTATACATCCTCACGTTTAAGAATCTCTGAATTCGTACTGCTCAAGGATTTCTTGCATAAATGTTTCTAATGCATAAAAATTGTTAAAATGAAAACCTCTTATAATTGAAGTACTGATACCCTAGCCTCTAGTTCCTAGTAGTTTCTTTACCCAGTAGTTTTTTGTTTGTTTTGTTTTCACTTTGATCTTTCTCTGAGTTTCTTTCTTTTAGACATCAAGTCTATTTTGAAAGCTGTCATCCATTCTAAAAGAGCTCTGATTGGTATTATTTGAAAACTGATTAAAAACTTTCAGTTCCCTGAATACCATCTTACATATAACATACTGTGAGAAAATACCCTATTATCCATCCTGAGTCTAAGACCATTTAGACTTCTTTGCTTATAGAGTGAGAAAAGAAAGTTGGGGGATAAAGGCCTCTCAAATAATACCCCAATGAAATTGGACTGATTCAGATGGCATAATAATTTGGATGAATGGAGCTTTTTATTTTTTTAAAGACGGGGTTTCATGGTGTTGGTCAGGCTGGTCTTGAACTCCCAACCTCAGGTGATCCGCCTGCCTTGGCCTCCAAAGTACTTGAATTACAGGCGTGAGCCACCACGCCTGGCCAGATGAATAGAGCTTAAACCTACTTTAAAATTTTAAATCAGCATAATTAAAATTTACCATGTAATAAAAGTCACCAATTTTGATGAGCTTTGACAAATGAATAGTCATGTAATGACCACCACAATCATGATACAGAACATTTCCATCACCCCAAAAGTCACCCTGCAGTCTTTTCAGTCAGTTACCTTCCTTAGCTAACTCCTGACAATCACTGATCTGCATTCTATTATTATAATGCTTTTCTAGAATTTAATATAAACAGAATATATAATATGCCATCTTTTGTTTCTGGTTTCTTTCACTTAGCATGCTTTTGCAAGTCATCCATGTTGTTAGATGTATCAACAGTTCATTTTAATATATCTCATTGGATAGATACCTGACATCTATATCAGATACAGACTGCTTTGTTAATAAACTAAGGACATATTAGGTACATTTATTATTCTACTTGTGGTTATTAACTATAGCTAAAATAAAGCCCCTTCACTGATAAACTTCTGTAACTTTTCCCTAAATACTGCCTCTATTCATGTTTTGTGGCTGCTTTAATAGACTCACAAAACTTGGTGGTTTAAGTGACAGAAATATATTTTCTTGCAGTCTGGGGGCCAGAAGTCAAAATTTAATTATCACTGGGCAAAAGAAAAAAAATCAAAGTGTCAGCAGGGCTGCATTCCCTTCAAATTCTAGGGGAAAATTCTTTCCTTGCCTCTTTCAGCTTCTGGTGGCTGTTGGCATTCCTTGTTTTTTGTTTTTTTAAGAGACAGAGTCTCACTCTGTTGCCCAGGCTAGAGTACAGTGGCACAATATCAGCTCACTGTAACCTCCACCTCCCAGGTTCAAGTGATTCTCCTGTCTAAGCCTCCTGAGTAGCTGGGATTATAGACGCCCACCACCATGCCCAGCTAATTTTTGTATATTTAATAGAGACAGGGTTTTGCCATGTTGGTCAGCTAGTCTTGGACTACTGACCTCAGGTGGTCCACCTGCCTCAGCCTCCCAAAGTGCTGAGATTACAGGCATGAGCCACTGTGCCTGGCCAGCATTCCTTGTTTTTTGTTTTTTTTTTTAAAGACAGAGTTGTGCTTGCTTTGGCAGCACATATACTAAAAAACTGGAACCATACAGAGAAGATTATTAGCATGGCCCCTGCGCAAGGATGACATGCAAATTCGTGAAGTGTTCCATATTTTTCTCCATACTTGAATATGGAGCGTATGCACAGGTGAAGGAAGTAACATTGTACTTTATAAACACTGTATTGTAAGTGGAAAATGCAATGTCTTAAATAAAACTACTTAAAATTGGCACCAAAAAAAAAAAAACCAAAAAAACAAAAAACAAAGATAGAGACTCCCTCTGTCACCCAGGCTGGAATGCAGTGGCATGAGCTCGGTTCACTGCAACCTTTACCTCCTGGGTTCAAGCGATTCTCATGCCTCAGCCTTCCGAGTAGCTGTGATTACAGGTGTGCACCACACACCTGGTTAATTTCTGTGTTTTTAGCAGAGACGGGGTTTTGCTATGTTGGCCAGGTTGGGCTCGAACTCCTGACCTCAAGTGATCTGCCCACCTCGGCCTCCCCAAGTGTTGGGAAAGAATACATGTGACTGCATGTAGGGCCCATGTAGGTAATTCAGAACAATCTCCTTATTTCAAGATCCCTATATCACATCTGCAAATACCCTTTTTCCAACTAAGGTAACATTTACAGATTATATAGATTAGAATTTTATATTCTTGGGAGACATTATTCAGTCTACTAAAGCGCACATTAGTATAAATTAGAATTTTACTATATTACTAAAAATGGTATGTGAACATAGTATAATATTAATAAAATTCACTACTGGCTGGGTGCAGTGGCTCACGCCTGAAATCCCAGCACTTTGGGAGGCCGAAGAGGGCAGATCATCTGAGGACAGGAGTTTGAGACCAGACTGACAAATGTGGAGAAACCCCATCTCTACTAAAAATACAAAATTAGTTGGGTGTGGTGGCACATGCCTGTAATCCCAGTTTAGTCAGGAAAATGCCTGAAACCAGGAGGCAAACGTTGCAGTGAGCCAAGATCGTGCCATTGCACTCCAGCCTGAGCAACAAGAGCAAAACTCCATCTCAAAAAAAAAAAAAAAAAGAGAGACACTGGAAAGTTAGCTAGCTAGATATGGCTATCTGGGAATACTATAATATATAACTATTATTATTTCTCCTTTAAGTTTCAGGCAAGGCCAGGTGTGGTGGCACATGCCTGTAATGCTAGCGCTTTGGGAGGCTAAAGCAGGCAGATCACTTGAGCTGAGAAGTTCAAGACCAGCCTAGGCAACATGGCGAATGCCAGTCTACAAAAATAATACAAAAATTAGTTGAGTGTGATTTTGTGTGACTGGATTCCCAGCTACTTGGAAGGCTGAGGTGGGAGGATCATTCGAACCTGGGAGGCAGAGGCTGCAGTGAGCTGAGACTGCGCCACTGCATTCTAGACTGGGTAACAGAGTGAAACCCTGATTCAAAACAAAAGTTTCAGGCAAAATATTTACTCACATTTCCACAGCTTAATAAAAACATAGCATGCAGGTTTTTTAAAAATTAGATTTTAGAGCACAGTGGCTCACGACTATAATCCCAGTACTTTGGAGGCTGAGGCGAGCAGAACACCTGAGGTCAGGAGTTTGAATCCAGCCTGGCCAACATGGCAAAAACCCGTCTCTACTAAAAATACAAAAAAATTATCCAGGTGTGGTGGTGGGATCCTGTAGTCCCAGCTACTTGGGAAGCTGAGGCACAAGAATGGCTTGAAGCCAGGTGGCAGGGGTTGCAGTGAGCTGAGATTAGGCCATGTACTTCATCCTGGGTGATGGAGCAAGACTCCATCTCAATAAAAAAAAAAATTAGATTTTCACATCTAAATTCTTCTGGCTTTGGAATATTTATGAATTTTCCTCAACTTTTTTCTTTTTTAAATCTCCTCACATTTATTAATACAACAGTTTTCTGTCAAATGGTCACATGAGGCCTACATGATATGAAGCACGTACGAAGATTTTAAATAAACTATTTACTGTTGTTTTTTCCTGTCAATGAAGTGATGCTCAATCTCCTAGCAGTGGTGGGTGACTTCTGCTGGGGTGGAGTCCGACACTGCTTTACTAGATCTTCATCTGATGCTGATGTCATCAATTCTCCAATTAGAATTCTTTCCAGGCTCCCATCATCAATGCCTTTCCCCAGCCACCGTCCACATGGGAATCTGGTAGGATAGAAAAAAGATTTTTGGGTTTTTTGAGACAGGGTTCTCATTCAGCCCCCTGAGTAGCTGGGACTACAGGTGTTTACCATTCAAACCTGGCTAATTTTTGTGTTTTTTGTAGACAGTGGGTCTCACTATATTGCCCAGGCTGGTCTTGAGGCCTTCCATCTCAGTCTCCCAAAGTGTGGGGATTACAGGAGCCACTGCACCCGGTCAGAATATTTTCAAACTAGAAATTAATGTGGGAGTTAAGGCAAAGAAGAAAAGAGGACAATGTTTCTATAGAGTAGTGTTGGCTGTGACTGAGATCTTTTCCTCCTACTGAAGTTATTTTAGGCTTTCTTTTTCTGAGAGTTATACTAATCTTTTCAACACTTGTGGACTAAGCAATAGCAGCAAACATCTGTTGTTTTAAAAAGCTTTTTGAGGCCGGGTGTGGTGGCTCATGCCTGTAATCCCAGCACTTTGGAAGGCTGAGGCAGGCGGATCACTTGACATTAGGAGTTTGAGACCAGCCTGGCCAACATGGCAAAATTCCATCTCTACTAAAAATACAACAATTAGCGGGGCATGATGGTAGGGGCCTGTAATCCCAGCTACTTGGGAGGGTGAGGCATGAGAATTTCTTGAACTTGGGAGGCCAAGGTTGCAGTAAGCCGAGATCGTGCCACTGCACTCCAGCCTGGGCGACAAGAGAGAAACACTGTCTCATAAAAAAAAAAAAAAAAAAGTTTTTTAGGGGGCAATTTTGTATAACTTAAACAAAAATAATCCCTCCCCCTAACAAAACAGCTAAAATTCAGAAGGCAAGTGGAAGAGTTTAAACAATTCTTAAACCTTTTCTCATCTGAAGAATCTTAAAGAATTCTGAGTTCCCAAGGCCATTTACTTACCTGTACGTATGTCCTGTGATTTCATTTCTGACCATGACACAATCCACTAGCCATTTGGCTAACAGTCCTGAGTTATCATGGCCAATCTGAACAGTGGTCAGCTTCCCCAAGTTCTGGCACTGTAAGGACAGGACCTTAGGTTATTTAGTACCCAATTCCATCCTGTTACATCTCAGCTTTACAGGTACTTTGGTTCCGTCTAATTTAACAACTGCAGAGACCAACCCTACATAATGTATTCAGCTATCCACTAGAGAAATATATTCACATGTATTCCTTGTTCTCAGGGAGCTCCTACATAATGAGATGGGAGACATATGGACATTACCAAATGAGGGGGACTGTACACAGTGCTAGATTAGGGATGTAAAAAGTGCTAGAAGAACGCTGGGAAGGGAACAGTTACTTCTACTTGGGGAACCCAGAAACATGACTGAGACAGTGACTTGTGCCTTGTAGGATGAGAATTTAAAAAACAGGAGTCCGGGTACAGTGGCTCAGGCCTGTAATCCCAGCACTTTGGAGGCTATAATCAAGACCAAAGCCATCCTGGTCAACATGGTGAAGCTCCGTCTCTATTAAAAATATAAAAATTAGCTGGGCATGGTGGCGCACGCCTGTAGTCCCAGTTACTCGGGAGGCTGAGGCAGGAGAATTGCTTGAACCCAGGAGGCAGAGGTTGCGGTGAGCCGAGATCGCACCATTGCACTCCAGCCTGGGTAACAAGAGCGAAACTCCGTCTCAAAAAGAAAAAAAAAAAAGAAAACAGGAAAAAGATGCTTGCTGTTTAGTTACAGAGAGGTCAAGAAAACAATTATAGATTTTAAAAAGCACGGACACTGATATTTTTCTTTTAAAAAAAATTTTTTGTGGGTACATAGTAGGTATATATATTTATAGGGTACATGAGATGTTGGTATTTTTCTGTTCCAATAAGATACTCAGGCAGAACTGACATCAGACTGCATATACTAGAAGTCCTTGAAGCTATTTATTGAAAGGCATAGCTATCAGTAAGTTATCTTCACTGGCCCTTTGTGGACAAGTACAAAATAAAGCAATGATAATGGGAATAGTGAAAATAAACACTAATTAAATTGTGACTTCTAAAACCTGATAATGAAAAGATCACTGACCCCAGCTATGTGTTGGATGAGAACATTAGGATTTTAAGTTCTTCTTTTTGGTTAATTTAAAATTTTTGTGGGTACCTAGCAAATGTGTATATTTATGGATTGAGGTATTTTGATATAGGCATGCAATGCCCAATAATTACATCAGGGTAAATGTGGTATCTGTCACCTCAAACATTTATCTTTTGTGTGACAATCCAATTCTACTCTTTTAGTTATTTTAAAATGCATAATTAAGTTATTTTTAACTATAGTCACCCTGTTATGTTAGCAAATACTAGGTTTTATTCACTCTATGTTTTGTATGAATTAGAGCTATGAATTCTTAAAGCACTTTATTCTTTGTATGTCAGTGAGAAGGCATCCCCATGCTCTAGCTCAGGGATGATGGCATCTTGAATTAGTTGTGCAGCAGAACTGGAAAGAAGTAGGTAGACATGAGAGAGACAGCTTAGAAATAGCAATGACAGGATTTTTAATGTAGTTCCATTATTGGCAGATGAAGAAAAGCCAAGGGTTTTAATATTTTATATACAGATGGCTGTGAGTCTACTGCATGGATAAGGCCAAACTGGGCTCCTGGGGGCATCATGACTCTAAGTGGAAACTGCTATTCTGAGACCCCAAGAAACATGCGAATGGGACATTCATTTAGTACCATTTCCTTCCTCAAACACAGCAGTCATTTGTCCTCTTCCTCCACCAAGATCAACCCATGTGTAGGCTCAAACACATGGAACTAACTCACCAAGTAAAACCTGAAAATTGACTACAATATCAAAACGTTGTTTTTTGTTTTGTTTTGTTTTTGAGACAAGGTCTCACTCTGTCACCCAAGCTGGAGTGCTGTGGCACAAACTTGGCTCACTGCACCCTCTGTCTCTTGGGCTCAAGTGACCTCAGCCCTGCAAGTAGCTGGACTACAGGTGCATGCCACCATGCCTGGTTAATTTTTGTATTTTTTGTAGAGACTGGGTCTCATCATGTTGCCCAGGCTAGTCTCGAACTCCTGGGCTCAAGCAATCCACTCGCCTTGGCCTCCCTAAGTGTTAAGATTATAGGCATGAGTAACTGCACTCAGCCAAAAGGCATTTTTATAAACTCACTCTAGAAATGTCACCGTATGTTCTAAAATCCATAAGCACATGCTTGAACCCAGAAGGGAGAGGTTACAATGAGTGAAGATCACATCACTGCACTCCAGCCTGGGCGACAGAGCAAGACTCTGTCTCAAAATAAATAAATAAACAATAAAATAAAATAAATAAAATCCATAAGCATGAATATCAGCTCTCCTGTCCTTTTGCCACAAGATGACCAGGTTTGGGCAGAAAGCATTTTACAGTAGGGAGGAGAACCACTGTGGAGAAAACATTTATTTGAATATTTCTTGCTTGCTAGGATCTGTGCTAGACCCTGAAAATAATGAGAGAGGACCTGGTAAAGCCCCAAAGTACACCATTACGAGTGAAAAATAGAGCTTCACAATGAAAATACAAAACAAATTAGTATATGCTGTTTAGGCATATAATCACAAAAATGATCCTGCATGCTTTGAGTGCTCCTCTATTTTATTTGATTCAAGGAAAAATGAAAAAGCCAGACAGAATCCATCTGTAAAACTACAAGTGATACTTTCTGCTAGAAAAGGTGTTGGCTGAACCTACCTCAAAAGTCATTTCAAGGAGGTTTTTGGGAATCTGCATTACTCCAGTGTCTCCTAGTTCTCCTGATACACAGATCCAGGGGTTTGATGTGATGATTGCATTGCTTAGCTTTTTGATTGGGATGATCACTGACCTATATGGAATCACTGAAAGAAAAACGCAGAAATTATTAAAAAGCTGGAATAAAATTATCCTTATAACAAAACATACATTAAGAACTGTGTTGGTTTTCTTTTTTTTTTTTTTTTTTTTT